AAAAAAAAGTGGGGGGGGGGGACAACTAAAATCAAAAGACATTTTGGTGCCAGATTGACAGGCATTGCCGAAAGCTTGAATGGAGGAGAAGACGATGAGGAGGAGGAGGAGAGGGCAGGAGGAGTGGTTGGGCAGAGGAAAAGGAGATCCTAGAGACATGGACATCTACCTGCGGGTCTCCAGCTTAAATAAACGACTGGAAATGGGTACCACAGACTGAGCAGAATATTTCCAACACAAGCTGTTGTCACTACGTGGACACTTTTGGAGCAAGATTTTTTATTTCTGAGTATCACATAGAGCCAACTAGGAAGAAAGAAACAGGTTCAATTTTGAAAACTCCTTGGAAGTCCTTGGCCACATACCAGCCTTGAACTTGTGTCATAAGACCTTTTAAAATAACACTGAACCAATCTCCCTAAAACAAATGATTTCCTTATTACTGACAGGCCAGGGAAATTAGAAAGATGCAATGAATTTTACAAATGGGAATGGGGGAAAAAGTCAGCTCATCAGTATTTCACAGAATGATTTCAAAGTGGAGGTGCTTATAAAGCGAGCTGAAAATATTTGCTCGGAAGAGCAAACTAACACAGACAGCACTTAGGCGCTTAAATGATGAAAATAATTCATATGGCTTAAAAATGACAAATCAATCCATTTTTAAAGCAAAATTATTTACAGTTCATGTATCTGCCAAGACTGAAGGCCGCTGCAGCGATTTACATGGACAATAGGAAAAACTCCAAGTGCTGATGAGGTATTAGGCCAACGTCATTAAAGCTTGCTCCAAAATCAGTCTCAGATACAAGCCAAAGCACAGAATGGTCCTTTTTATCTCTCTCTTTTATCATTTATGGGTCTAAGTCAAACGATTTTTTCCAAAAAGCAAGAAAGAGGAGTTAATGGAGAAGAAAAGGGAGTATTGATTAATATGAAAATGAATTACATATGTTTTAATGGAGTCTAATACAACAGCAAAGTCTATTTCGTAAGGCTCCAAAGGGCTGAGGGTACGAGCTGCTGTGAGCAATGGGAGGCCTTCTACCATCTACTTCTCCCACTGCTTTTCCTCGTAGCTTGGACTTAGGTGGGTTGCACCCCTGTCCTGGTTCTGGGTCAAGTGGCATTCGGGGCACTAATGCAATGGGAGAATCTGAGAGAGGCAGCATTCAGGAGGATTCAGGCTGGGTTACCTAACTGTGTACATTACCTAACATTTCTCGTATTTTTTGGTGACTAGCTGTCAACTATGTCCTCAGCAGTCCTTCCAGGAGTAAGGGACAGAGAACAATGGGACAGAAACCTGTTATTGTTGCTGCTTTCATCTTGTTGTGTTTGCTGAAGATACTTCTTCGCCCATCATTTGGTGTCCTTTAGAAAAACTTTGTGTGAGAACTTTTTTCCAAAACTAGGAACATACTGTCTCTTTAGTGAACACATTATGTTTTTTTTTTTAATTTGAAAATAAAAGATAAGTAAATAATGTGGTTACCTACATTGCGTAGGCTGCTGGGGAACTCAGAAGAATTTCATAGCCCCATCACAGCATCTAACTCAACTTTTTAAATGGCTTTTTATGGCTTTGGATGACTACTTCACTAAGGTTATTATCATTAAGAGCTCAATGACTTTTACTATGTGTGTACTTGTTCAATGTTATATTTCTGCTTTGCTACCTTTTAAAAGTACATACTCATCAGACTTTAGGCCTCATGAGGATGGTGAGTATAGATAGATTTGTCTTTTTATCTCTCGCAAGTTGTATGAGGGCTTGAATGTTTTCTGTTTTAGTTCCTGTTGTATACTAGCACTGGGTCTGGCTCATAGGAGATACCCAATAAATATCTGTTGATGGAACAAATGCATAAAAATGTTTAGTGATCTGTGACAGGGCATCCTTTTTTTGAAAGGAGCAATCAATAAATCATTTGTAGGCTCCAAGAAGGCGCCATCTTATTTATTACATCATTGCCAGTAGCTCACACCAAACCTGACACTTAGTAGTTTTTCAACACCAGCTTGCTGAATGGATGGATGAAAGGATGAGTAGATAAAAGAGAAATATATGGATAGATGGACAAATGAAAGAAGAGAGAAAAGGAAGCAATGGTTGGGAAATGAACTATCGAACAAACCTAGGTGAACAGGGACTTCAAATTCAGGGTTTAGCGTGATACCAAGTTTTCAATTCTCACACACAAAATCCTTGTGTGAGTCTCTGTTAAACAAGTTTCTAGTCAAGATGATTAAATTGGGCCACCGAATGTTTCCCAGTGAGGGCTAAAACCTGACAGCAAATATGTCTTATTTTTGTCTCTGCCATTTGGCAGAAAAATCCCTGATGCTATGGATGTCCAGGCATTAAATTAGAAAGATTTTATTAAGATATCACCATTGTCCCCCATGAGTATATAAACCATAAATTTAACATTTACACTAAACCTAGCAGGTGAAATTGCTGACTGAGAGTAAGTTACAGAGACTATCCAGGAGGGGAAATGAGATAAAAAAGAGAAGTCCTTCTGTTCTAATAAAAACCCAACTACTTAATTATTGAAAGCATTAGGAAAAAAAAAAAAAGGTATGAGGGCAAAGGAAGCTGTCAGTCACATGAGCAAGCCAACAACGTCAGGAGGCTCTACAAATAAAGAACAGACACCATCCTCAGTTCAGACAGTGTATCTCAGAACTAATAGTAACTCTCAGCATATCATAACCCAGGCACAGACAGTGTGCATTTCATTCCACAGCCTAACTGACCCTGTCTGTCACTATTGGAATGGCATTCTGGAACCAGGACATTCAACTTCCCCGTGGATTCCCTCCCATCCTACCCCAAAAAAATCTCATCATCATCTGTCTCTCTGGCAGGACTTCATCAAAATTCATACTGGGAAGGGGAACAGCTTTCAACCCACCTGTACAAAACTCCCACTGATCACAGATGTTAGCAAGGCTCTAACTGGCAACAGCAGACCTTGGCTGATAGCCCCCCACTTTGTGCAGCAGCTGCCGGAGGGTGCCAGCAATGCTGTGAAAACCACCATCCCTGTCCTGGCAGAGAAACCAGGAAAGGACGAGCCCCAAGCTGGGGGCTGGCTCTTTTCTAACCCAGCAACACACCAGCCTCTTAGCTTGTGGTAATTAAGAGCCAGCAGACTGTGGGCAAAGCAGTTAAGAAAGCTTTTTTCCCTAGGAATGCAGCCTGAGTAATTGGTTTGCTGCTTGCTAATGACACAGCTTCCACAAAAATAAATGGTCACGGGGAATTCTTAACTGATTTGGTGAATGCGGGCCCCTATACCTGTTTGATACCCTTCGAGTTCAGCAGGAGATTCCACAATGTGTTGGGGGAGAAAAGATGCAAATGAATCTACAAAGATCCTTTTGCACAGCAAGTTTAAATGGAATGCAAAGCAACACAGAACCCCTTGCTACTGATGTCATCCTGGCTGTGCCAAACTGCTCTCTCCCCCAGTATGCTCCGTGTCAAGACTCCATGTCATGTGGAGTGCATAAAGTAAGCCTATGCATCACGTAGCATGCTAGGGGGCAGGGGAGAGAAAAGGATGACTCCTGATAACTCAAGCTCGTATGACACGTCTCTCAGTTGTGTTTCTATTTTTTTCTGAAGGCCGAAAAGGTTTCTGACTACGACCCAGGGATGGGGAGACACATATGCCTGCATATACACACACACGCGCGTGTGCACACACACACACAAGCTTTGGAATCTCCATAGTTCTAATACGGACACCTACCAGCCCTTCTCAGCCTGGACATTAACACAAAATGACAAGGGAGGCAGCCCCGAAGTCACATGTTCCCATCACCATGGTATCATGCCACTAGAATCACATCAATTATTGCAGGTTTTTCTCTTTGGAGAACTTAGGAGTAGGGCTTATGAATGCAGGAAGCTCCCTCTCTCATCTCCTGAATAAACTTCTGCCTCTTGCTGCCAGGCTTGGAGACAGGTGGAAAAATTCAGCTGCAGCACATAAGCTGCAAAGTTTTTAAGGGTTCTCCGCTCCCGGATGGCAGAAGGTTGTCAATTTTCCCTCCCCCGCCCCCTAATATTCTAAGCCATAAGGAAGCACACCCCTCTCTCAGTATTTTAGTGTTAAAGATTTGGGAAAAGTTCTTTCACCTAGATCAATTGCACAGGCACTGGAATTCCAGATTTTGAGTTTTTAAGTAGCATTTTAATTTGTTGTCAGTGCCCTGGGAGCAGAAGCTCACCACCACCAAGCAAAACACTAGAGCCTCTAAGCTATTAGCTAACATGTCAACTAGGTAATGCATCTTCAGGGAAACCAGATTAGAAAGGACAGCATAACATTGATTTTTTTTTTTTTAAAGAATCCTATACCTGCAGCATAATGCTGCTAAAGCCGGCAAAACAACAAAGGATATTTCCACAGAAAGGAAAATGTCTTATTCTCAGTGCTGGGGCATTTTCCATGTGAGCATGGGCATATACACAGGACAGAGTTATTCCTCCGTAAACCTACAGGCTTTACAATTTTTAAATAATTTATTATCCAGTGCATAAGAAAGCTTAGGGAAGGAATCCACCCATGTGAATGGCTGGAAACACCAGTTGAGAGCAATGCTATTCAGGAAGCAGGTAGAGGGTTTTCTTCCCTCCTCCCAAAAGAAACAATAGCATTTGTATCAAGTTAAAACATCTAAGAGACTCATGCATTGGAATGAGAGTTGTGAAGCATTTATACAGAGAAGATCACAAATGTGCATTCTTTATCCAGGCTCCTGCAGCCTGCCTACAAATCACTGGACAGTTAAAGACAAACCGGATAATACCTTCTATACCAAACGGAACTCCAGAACTTAATAAAATGAGCCTTGGTTCTTGTCTCCTCCACCCACTCTAAAACACATTTAGTGAAGTCCAGCCAGATAGCGTCTCCTCCCACCACCAGCCTCCCACCCTCCACCCCCCAAAAACCAGTACCAAGTAACTGACAAGTCCTTACCGACTTTGGGCTCTTCTTGGGAACTGGCAGTCCTGGAAAAAATGCAACAAGAAGGGAAGGGGTTGGGGGTGGGGGGAGAGAAATTATTAGCATATAAATGTTACCTTTTCCTTAAAGAACAATCCCCAGGTGTTTCATGGCAACCTAGCCATCTGCAGAGTTATGTCAGATTTCTCCCCAGCATCGGAGTTACCAGGCTGTTCATATCGAATCAAAGCAGAGGGAGGAGGAGAGCGAGAGGCAGGAGATCTATCTGCATTAGCTATGCTGACTTGTACTGCAGCAGCCTGGAGGCTGGGAAAAGAAATTCACAGACCTCAGCGGCCTGGGAAATTGAACACTTGGACAGAATCTCAAATGCTCTTCTGGATTAAGAGAGACTTAACTTACAATTAAGTCCAAGATATTTCCTTTCCACACGATCCACTTGTCAGTCGATGAGGACCAATCAGGACAGAGGAAGGGGGTGTATATGTAGTTTCAGAGGAGTCCATGGTTAAAATTAAAAAAGAAATTTTTTTTCTTAGTCTTTTTTTCCCCCTCTGCTTTTTAGGAGAGGAAATGCCTTCTTTATTTGGATGAGCTGAATACCAAAACAAAGACAGATACTCTTTTGCCAGCACACACAGAACACAAACCCAAGCCAGTCTAGGAACCCCTCTGGATTGTGGCACACCTCTTCCACACGTCACTCGTGCAAGTAAATTCCTATTCAGTTTGCTAGGACCAGCCCCTCGAAAGCAGATGGTTAGGAAGTAAAAAGAGAAATTTCATGGTGTTGAGAGAAAAAGATAATAATGTAGAAAGAGAAAGGCAGAGGAGAAAAGGTGCTCACGGATCCTAGCAGGCTCTTCCAAAATCCCCCTGTCTTTACTGGGACAGGGACAGCTGAGAGGGACCACTGCTCTCACTTCTGGGAAACTCAGCAGGCATTAGGGATTGGGGCAGACTTATGGGAAACCTGTCACCAAGAGGAGTGTGGCCAAGGAGGGCTTGAACGGAAAAGCACAGCATTTATCGGTGTTCAAAAAGTAATCATTTCTGCAAGCTGTCCTCTCTCTTTTTGTTTTTTTTTTTAATTTTTGGTTTGAGCCAAGGTTAAATTGCAAAATGCAGATTCCACCAGTGTTAGGCACAATACAGGTCCTGATGTATTGGGATCTGATGACTCTGCACCGGAAATGTCAACCTTTTTTAGAACACACTCCCTAGGTAGTGATGATTTCACCTCTACTTGGAAGTGACTTGTCAAACCATGAGGTGCACTAAGTTCAACGCAAGTGACAGGAGGCGGCGGCAGGGGGTGAGTAGGAGGAAGCCGTCCAGAGAAGCACTGCTAATGGGGCCCTGCAGGAGGGCGCGACAGGGGCTGCTCGTCCCCGTAGGCAGTGGGGACACTCTTCTGGGATGGGTCATCATCTCACCGAAAGGAGGTCACCATGGTCTGGCACAGTGGTTCTGGGACTTCAGAGTGCATGCCAGGAGGACCTGGCAACTTCTTATCAAAGCAGAATCCCAGGACCCACCATCAGGGGCCCAGAATCTGCAGAATGAAAACACATCCCAGGAGATTCTGACGCAGGTCTGAGGACTCTTTTAAGGAAACTGTGCCACAGTAGGACAAGGATTATCACTCTCTCAATCCTGGCAAATTTGCGCAATGCAATATATATATTGCATTTTAACATGCTAGGGGAAATATTTTGCCTATGGATGAGAATAACCGTCTTGAGAGATTTAGATGTGTCATTTTTTCTTAAAAATAATTATTAGGTGCCACTTTGATTTGTTCATTAATGAGATTCCCTTAAGGAATTTTATCAAGTGATATTAGTTTTGGGTCACTGTGTACACATTAAAATGGTCTAATATTACATCTTTAAATATAGATTTTTCTCTAATTCAGACTGATCTTCTTAGTGCATTGGAATAAACAATACTTCACTGGAGTGAACTTTGCTAGACTTGTCATCACCCAGGATTCCAACAACCCTCTACAAAACTTTGTAAAGAATCTCCAACTAGTCAGGAGGAGTCAGGGAAAATGACTTCAGTTTACACTCTGCTTATCAGTTCTAAAACTCTGACCATCTCAAATCCTCAATCTCTTAAGATTTTCATATATAAAATAAAGGGTACTTTGGATCCTCTATCATAGTGAAATATTCTCACCCACATTCAAAGTTTTGCAGGTACATGCTGCTCACTGCAGCGTGACTAGTACAAAAAGAATCTGGAAACAACTGGAAGTTCTAGATAAACTCAGGGACAGCCAACCTATGAAGCAGAGGTTAAAAGGCACAAGCTATCTCTATTAGTGACAGCATGGATGGTCGTCTCCAAACTATAGCGCTGAATGAGAACAGCATGAAGCTGAAGGGAAGGCACAAGAGATGGGTATTAAACAGATGCAGACACATCCGTGCGCTTGACTGTCACACACAAATATTGGTAAGTGAAGTATTTCCAGTGGGGATATAAGGGGCAGGGAGTGGATGGACTATTTTAAGCAGGCTTCAGCCTTAATCTAGAATTCTTTCCACAACACCATATTCACATCTTGTTGAGGCAATAAACTAAACATTAATTAATTAATGCCCCTTCCTTTAACTGCACAAAATCAACCAGTCTAAAGCATACTGTGGTAACCAGTTAGCCTGTTTGCTCTGGAGAAGCAGTCCATGGACCCTTCTAAAAAATCCTAGGCTCAAGTGACCCAACAAGTTGTTTTACAAATAAAGTTCTTTAATTTAAAGAGGGATTTGCTCTTCTGTGCTGGCTAGTTGCCAAAACTCTTCTTTTTTAAAAAGCCACACCATTGACAGGAGCCAAATGTGCCCACAAAACAGTGTTTAAAAAGTCAAAAATCAAGAGACTCCATTTGACTGCTAAAAAAAGAAGAAATCAAAGATTTGTTTTAGGTCCACATCATCATTAAATCTTAAAATCTAATGAATATGAATGTTGGAACCAAGCTCCTGATGATAATTTATAATTTATTTCAACTAAAGCTATTCAGATGGGCCGAAAATAGCTGGGAAGACCTAATGGAAAGCACTAAAAGAGATCCCTTTTTGGCAGAATTCTCCAAGACTGAGAAATCCTGCTAAGTGGCTCTGGTTTAGCTGGAGGTGACTGCAGGGCATCCGACCTTGGATAGGCCACAGAAAGCAGAACCATCCCATACTAACAGCATGTCAGTGGTTTTCCTTAGGACAAAGGTAAACTTTGTGTTCCCAGGGGAAGCAGGAAGCCCGTCTTGTAGAAATCATGTCACATACTACATAGGAGGCATATGGGCAGAAAGAGCACCTGTCTTAATGGGCTCATTTGCTTCCTTTAGGGAAAGGAAGGGGGATTTTGAGAAGAGGCAGAAGAAAGAATCCATGGACAGCACCATCTGCTCTTAGAGCCTGGAACTAGGAAATGCTACTTCAAAGGGATCCCAGAAAATTTCACGGGGAAGTGTACTTTCAAAGTGTAAGTCTGGGTGTGAGCTACAGAAGTGAGAAAACCTGGGGGCCTGAATTTCTAAAGTTTCCAATGAACAAGGTGTCCCTTTGGAGAAAACAAATGGCAAATGATCTGCTAGTGACTGATACCTGACCGATTAACATGAGGAGGAGGAAGAATCTCTTTCCTTTAGCTATCAAGGCCATAAACTATGCTACTGAACATGTTCTCATATAACTAAATGGCAAGTATTATTCTTGGTGGAATTTTAAAATGGTTGTACACAAAAGTTTATATGAAAAAGGTAAAAATATAACAGAATGCAAAGCATTTGGGAATAAAGCACAGAAATTTATACACTGAAACCATGTGTTCTTGGGCCAATGATATCATGGATGGCTTTATTACCTATTTTAGAATCTTCCACAACAATAAAAGCTTTATTTACTTACAAACATATACATACCCACAGATACCACAATAAGGTCTATACTAGCTCTTTAAGTAAGATAAATGCAGCAAATTTCAGAACATTTTATTGCATTTTTAAATTTCTAGAGCCACTACTGACTTCTACTGACTTCTTCTCCAAGAGTTGCTTACTTTTTCCCAAAATGAATATATACACATTGAGTTCCTTTAAACATCCTGTTGAGATTAAGACTTGTGTTTGTCCTACTGACTAGATGGAAATAGGAAAGACACTGGATAGCTCAGCTGGGTATCAGGCAAGCCAAACAGAAGTTAATCTCTTTCCCATTTTGTCACCAAGATTAACAAAACCTGAGATGCTGGGAAAGAGATTGGATTTCCCTGGACCTAATTTCCTCTAGGTTGAAATGAAGTGAGAATGTCTACCAACTTTACTCTCTGAAAGAACCAAGAAAAATTGCACAAAGGGTCTGGAAGAGGGGAATGCTAAAGTCATTGTCAAAAGCAAAGTGGATCTTCAAATAAGAAAAATGCCCTGAGTCATCAATTTCCTTTTTTTTCATTGTGATAGTCATTCCCCTTTTCACTTAGTCTCTAGATTTGAGAATTTTAATGGAAACATTTGGTTTCCGCCTCAGTATTCTGACATATACTATGTCACTAATTTACATCATCAAACACAAGGGATTCCTTAGAAGTGTGCAGAGCAAAATGATGCAGTTACAACTGTACTGCTGAATAGGGTAATGCCATGTGTAAGGAGCAAGGAACTTATTTTTATTCAGAAAGAGAGAGGTAGCTCACAGAAAAGCCACAGAAAGGAGAAGACTAAGAACTTGATCCGAGGCTAATCTTAGGTAGACTTCAAAGAGATTAAGACTACTTTTGAGCACATTTTCATTTCAGACCCTACAAGTTTTCTTTCTTATTCTAAAACTTACCAATGCATAATGCTAAATGCAGGATTCAAAAATTACAACTGACTTTAACTCAGTAAACTTATCATTAGGATTTGTATTAAGGGAATACGAAGAGAGTCTCTCACACAGATATACACAGAAAAGATGTTCCACACAGTGTTATTTAAAGAAGACAGAAATGGAAACAATTTGAACTTCCAAGAACTGAGGAATGAGCAAGCATTACT